AGGGTCCTGGGATCAAGCCCCACATTGGGCTCCCTGCTCCGCGGGAAGCCTGCTTCTCCCTCTCCCACTCCCCCTGCCTGTGTTCCCTCTCTCGCTGTGTCTCTCTCTGTCAAATAAATAAACTCTTTAAAAAGAAGAAGCACATAACTATAGTGGAAATGAAAGTAGAAATCACCACCACCATCCAAAATGCCAAGTGTTAAGAGGAGCATGCACACAGCGTATGTGTACGGGGATGCATCCCACACCCTCTCCCCTTAGCTTTACGGAAATGTGGCACCCACCAGTCTCCTGGTGTCACCTTGGAGTTACAAAGTCTCTCCGAGCCTAACCTGTTCCTAAGGAAGGGCTTCTGTATGTCCTTTTTTTTTCCCCTAGGAAGAGAAACTGGATGTCCCACCGCAAAGCATGCTCTTGTCTCTTCAGTTTGCCTACTGGCTAAATTAAAATCTCTTAAATAGTATCTGTCCACCATTTTGCTTCCTCCACCCACTTCTTTCCCACTGCCAGCGCACTAGGGGCAAAGGGCAAGAACTCTTGGGGGGGCAGGTGCCCCGGGCAGATTGGCATCCTAGGGGCGGGTAGTCTGCACAAGTCACTTGACTTCCCCCCGTCTGTTCTCCTGGCTTGACAAACGCAGATCTCACCGGGGCAGGGGATGCGAGCTGGCACCTGCGTGGGACCCGCAGCTGAAGTCTGGAATTTCTGGTTAATGACAGGAAGTTTAGAACCCCCTGCTTTCATTGCAAAATCCACCTGAAGGTTCTTCAGGGAAAAACAATTCCCTCCCGTTACACCCTGGGCCACCCCAGACAGAGAGGAGTGCTCCACCAAGCCGAGGGAGAAGCCTGCGCGGGAGGCAGACGCCGGGCAGAGCTCGCCTCAGGCCAGGGGACAGCGCGGCCGCCAGGGGAGCGGAGTGCGGTGCAGTCTTCATGCCTCGGTGCCCGCCAGAGCTGAATCAGGGACCCAGTGCTCACACACCGGAGGCCGCGGCCAGCCACGCCGCACACAACCCTGGTGCTGCGCCAGCCGGGCGGAGCTCCCAGCTCTTCAGAGCTGCTGTCACGCCAGCCGGTCCTCCCCGCAGCCTGCCAGGAGCCACAGTGCCCTGGGATTACTAGCCCCATTTCACTGCTGAGGGCTTGAAGTTTGCCCGAGGTGACCCAAGAGTCAGCGACAGATTGGTCCGAATGCCCCAGCTACGGCCCAAGCCATATACACCAAAGGGTCACTGAGGCACTGAAGTCTTAGCTACGGGACGCCATCAGCCCTCACGCGCTGGTTACATCTGCTGGCCTCACCGGAGCCCAACAGCTGCTTTGCGCGTCTGCCCCCCCCCCTTCCCATGGGAGCCTTCTGAGGGCACCCACCATTCTGCACGGCCCCTGCCCGGTTCTCAGTCCAGCCAACGGGCCGCCCTTCGCTGGCCGTTTCTGAGCCCCCCCGAGACGATGACAAGGCAACTTCCCGTTCGAGAGCGTGCCAACCATGACCTGGCCCAAGCAGTGACTGGCCACAGAAGCTATGACCGCCCCCCTTCCCTCGACATGTGCCGTCCCCTCGGCGCCGTGTGATGGTTCCCTACCCACTAAGAAGACCGTAACAAAGGTAAGCAGGAGGGCAGTCTGAACAGAACCAAATTTAGAGAGTTAACAGTGAGTTTTCTCAAAATGTTTCTGGAACGAGTTTTTAAAAAATGACTAGCTGGGATACGTATGTATTAAAAACATACAAAATTACCTGGTACCGTGCATGATCATCTCTGAAAAAAACCCAAACAGGAATCTGAGGTCCAGAAAACATCCCTGCAGCAGTAGGCAGAAGGGTCTCCCCAATCATACCGCCCCCCTCCCGCCGCAGTACAGGCAGGGGAGCACACCGGCGCATACCTGCTGGCTTTCCTGAGCCGGGGCCGAGGACACAGACGTGGCTTGTGCGGGCGAAGAGGGGAGGCTCGCCGAGGTAGGAGGTACTGTGCTGGCGTGAGCCTGGGCCAGGAAGGCCTGTTGCTCGGGGAAGTCCGGGGCCAAGGGGGGGGCACGAGTCCTGCCCTCCTGAGAAAGTACACGCTGCTGGTCAAGCACCAAGAGCACCAGCTCCTCTTTCTCCCGGCACATTTCGGTAGAGATGTCATGGAGGCTGAGATAGTCCCTCAGGTCCTTCACCTTCATCTTCATGAGCTCCTCCCGCCGAAAGGCTGTGGCTCGGAACCGCTGGCAGAGGAGGCAGAGGTGGGGGCCGTTCCCCACTTGGCTCGAACAGGTCATGCAGAAATTCTTCTTGCAGTCCAGGCAGGTCTGCTGCTTAGACCAAGAGGCAGAGGAAACCATGTCAGACTGAGAACAAGACAGAGCGGGAGGGGGGCTCAGGGCCGCCATGCCTAGCGGGACTCCCCTGATCACTCCTGCTGGTACAAAGCTACCTCCTGTACATCAGGGTGCAAGGTACCTTGATTTCAGTAAACACCACTCACAGGTGGCGGACCCCCCCGTAGGCACCTGTGTGCCCACATCCAGGACACTACATTCATTATTTCAGTTGAGACTTACTTTTTTCATTGTAGATAGAGAAACAGAGGGTTTCGATTCTAATAAAAAAACCCACATTTTCATTTAGTCTGCCTCCTCCATTTCTTTATGGTGTCACCTTGGGTGTGTTACTTAGCCTCTCTGGCCCTCAGTTCCCTCATCTGTAAAATGGGGGTGATGACAGTACCTACACCTCATGATTGCCCTACAGTTAAGAGACAACGCAAAAAAAAAAAAGAGAGAGACAACGCATTTAGCGTATGTGACACATGATTCTTCAGGGTAAGTATTAACTCTTTTAATTATTATTGTTAGGAAACGTGAGCTAATTTTGAGAGCCAGGATTCAAATCCTGAACTGATTTTTTTCTACTTTATTGCTGAGAATAGAAAGCAAATGCATAAGTACGATGGTGATTATTATTCATATTATTGATTAAATTTACTGAGAGGCTACTAGGTGCTAGAGCTTGTCATTTAATTTTCAAAGCAACCCCGCAAAGTATTACTCTATGACTGTATCACGTATTAACATACATCATCGGGGCGCCTGGGTGGCTCAGATGGTTAAGTGTCTGCCTTCGGCTCAGGTCATGATCCCGGGGTCCTGGGATCCAGTCTGGCATTGGGCTCCCTGCTGAGCAGCGAGCCTGCTTCTCCCTCTGCCTGCCCCTCCCCCACTGCTTGTACTCTATCTCTGTCAGATAAAAAATAAAACATCTTAAAAAAAAAACCACATCACTAATAATTATTAATGTACCTCCCTATCTCAGACAAAGCAAGCGAGGCCTAGAGAGATGAAGCATCGCACTCAAGGGCGGGCAGGGACCAGCAGAGCTGGGGTTCACGCTCAAAGCCTGTCCCTGTGGAATGCCCACAGTCACGCCCTTCCCACCAGGCCACGCTGCCAGACTCCGCCCCGCCCAAGCCGACAGCAGGACCCAGTCCAGGGTCTGGCTCTCCATCGCCAAACCCCCACCCAGTGCCCCATCCACAGAGGCTTTGCCCAGGCTCCCCCACCCCAGGAAGGCCCACTCAGAGTGCCGGGAATCCAGTGGCACAGAACAGCCTATCCAAGACAAATACTCAGACAGCTAAGGGGCGGGGGGGGGGGCCGGGTAAGGGGTGGAGCCTCGAGCCGATCAGGGAGCTCGTCCTTTGTGCGCGCGCAGGGTCTCAGATGCACGAGAGCCCGCCGTCGGCACACAACAGCACACGCCACATCACACCAGAGCTTGCTCGACTCACAGGCTGAGCCCGCACAGTGACATCTGACTGAGCTCTGCTCCAGCCGAGCACAGGCCGCACTCCCACAGCAGAGAGAATTCCTGGGCACACTGGGATGGTCCCGGGACCACAGTACTTTTCATCCTCTGGTGACTTGAGCATTAACCTATTTCTGCTCCCCCTTTTCTAAATAGAGAAAACTGAATGCAAACTAACAAGAATGCCCGGGAGACAGATTCTCATAATCAAAATCAGACTCTCGTGCGGGGCTGGAGAAGTCTGCACAGCTGAGGCAGTGGTGCGTAGCTTTGTCCAGGTGTCCTGCGTGTCGAAAGGGAAACGGGCAGAATGTTCGCCACCCGGGTGTAACTATGAATACTGAAAGGCGTTTCGAAAGGACACATATCAAGCTCCCTCACTCTCTATGAAACGCGTTTAGGATGGCTGAGAGTGGAAGGAAGAGGCTTCAGTGTCAGACGCTGTAGGACATGGAACGTGACTCAAGTCCATGCAGTCTGACAAGACCTAGCCTGACACAATTAAAAAGCCCTGAGATGCTCCATCAGCCAGATCTAAACAACTCTCTATTCTTTCTTCAAACATGCACAGCTTATTGGAGGCGAGACCAGAATGCAAAGGCAGCACCCCAGCTTCTCCACGTCCCCCGGCTCACCAGGGACTCTGAAGTCGGCCTGCATCCAAAACACGGCCTCTAGGAATAGGACGGCGCTCCAGGCTGAACTCCCAGTTTGCAAAGGAGAAGCTGGCTATCAACACAGACAGGAAGAATGAGCGAAGGAAACATCCGTCTCAACTCGAGCAAACTGCGCGCAACTGAGGAAGCAGGTGGCCTGAAAGATGAATTAGTGGAGCCAACATGCTTGCAGACACACCGAGAGGACACGCAAACCTCCAGCAGCAAACGCCGCACCAACTTCAGGAACCTGAGGGGCCTGCTTGCCCTTGCTCCTCTGCCCTTCCCTCTTCCTACCCGGCCACACACGCATTCCCCAGACTCTGCGGCCGGGCGGGGCTCCTCCTCACTGGCCTTCCTCTAGGCTCCTTCTCTCTCTTTTTTCTTTCTTTCTCTTTCTTCTTTCTCTCTCTCTCTAAGATTTTATTTATTTGACAGAGAGAGACATAGCAAGAGCAGGAACACAAGCAGAGACAGAGGGAGACGGAGAAGCAGACTCCCCACTGAGCAGGGAGCCCGATGTGGGACTCGATCCCAGGACTCTGGGATCATGACCTGAGCCGAAGGCAGACGCTCAACGACTGAGCCACCCGGGCGCTGCAACGTGCTTTTCAACATGCTGAGCATGCTGGTCCCTGAGCCTGGTCACCATCACTGTCCTCTTTGCTCCTTCTCTGTTCCCCACTCCACAGACTATAAATGATATTTTTATAAAAAGGTTCAAACAAACCTACGGCAAGTTCACGCTGCCTCATTTAAACAAAGGTCTTTCCTATTCCTTTCATGCTAATTACTTTGCCACTTCAGCCAGCAGTTGTTCCTAGCATTTCTCAGTGTAAAACAATGAAAACAGTAAGATCTGTGACTACCCAACAGACTCTAGATGCACCTGAGGAGTCCTTAAAACCACCACCTTAAATAGAGCAATTTCTGGGACGCCTGGGTGGCTCAGTCGTTAAGCGTCTGCCTTCGGCTCAGGTCGTGATCCCAGGGTCCCGGGATCGAGCCCCGCATCGGGCTCCCTGCTCGGCGGGAAGCCTGCTTCTCCCTCTGCCCCTCCCCCTGCTTGTGTTCCCTCTCTCGCCGTCTCTCTCTGTCGAATAAATAAATAAATCTTTAAAAAAAAAATGGAGCAATTTCTTCATCTATAAAATGGGAACAAATAATAGTATATATTTCGTTAAGGATTCAAAGAGAGAAGACATGTGAAACGCCAAGCTCAGTGCCAGGCATGTGACAAGTCGCCCCTGGGCCTCCTTCCATTTCACCTCAGATCCCAAAGCCAGCCCCCTGTCTCCATCCCTGAGTAGACTGAGGCCATGTGGCACCGAGCTCCTTCTAGTCCCTGCTTTGGCCTACATCTATAGACTCAATCTTCCAGTTTCAGTATAAAGGGAGCGGCACCGCAGCCTGCCGTACCACAGTCCCCTGCGACCCGCAGCGGCCTCTCCGGTGGTGTCCTCACGGTGACCGGGGCAGCCAGGCACATCACGACAAAGCTCTGCTACGTGCCCAGCCTCACTGCACTACAGCGAGGCGCAGGCAAAATGCCAATCCTCCTTCAGCTTGTGGGTACAAAAGGACGGGGTGGTCAGCACTGCAGGCTGCAGGAATTTGGACATGCTGAATGTCTTCTGGGAGACAGCCTGAGAGTTCAAAGAGCTGGGTTTGAATCCTAGCTCTGCCATTTAATAACCATGTTATCTTGGGCCACTACCTATGTAGCCGGAAAAGGAGTATTTCTGTCTTTCTTATGCCATTGATCAGGAACTTGACAAATACAGTTTCTTTCTTTCTTAACTGTTACACTCTAAACCTCAGTGTCTCCTATGTAAAATGGGAGCTTAGGGACCCTAAAACCTCTACCATAGAGTTACTGTGAGGCTTAAATGAAACCAAAAGATCTAAATTGCTCACAACAGTCCCTGGCATACAGCACATAGCTTAAAAAGTAGCTTTCCGGGGAGCCTGGGTGGCTCAGTCATTAAGCATCTGCCTTTGGCTCAGGTCATGATCCCAGGGTCCTGGGATCGAGCCCCGCATTGGGCTCCCTGCTCAGCAGGAAGCCTGCTTCTCCCTCTCCCACTCCCCCTGCTTGTGTTCCCTCTCTCGCCGTCTCTCTCTAAAAAAATTTTTTAAAGTAGCTTCTCCTCTTATATTTCCCATCATTGCCACTTTAACCTCACATCCAGAGCTACAGACCTACCTCTCTGTTCTGCAGATGAATGCAGAATGCAGGTCGGGGTTCACCCTCAGCCCCGGTCGTGCTTGACCTTGGAGAATGGGCTGCCTTTGGGCACTGGAGCAAGGACAGCCCACACCCACACGCCATCACCCAGCCAGTGACTTCCCCTGCTGCTCGCTAATCTGGAAAACACAGCTGCCGAGCATTTCTCATGAAATCGCTACAGGAAAGCCGCCCCAGTCTTTGTCCTGCTGGGGTCTGGATGTACATGAGATGTCCTCGGCACTGCGTGGGATACAAAGACCAAGCTAATCTGCAGTCAGGCGTTCACGACGACAGCTAACGAAGGGAGTGACACCAGTGTCTGCCGCATGCCGCACGGTGCTGGGGCCCTTGGTAGCCCACCTCATGTTATTCTCACGACCCTGTGAGATAGGCATGACGGCTGTACCCCCATTTTAGAGATAGGGGGAAAGAATCTCCAGAAAGGTTAGGTCATACAGCTAGTAAGCAGCAGAGCTGAGGTCTGAATTCAGGCCTGTCTGGGTCCAAATCGACGCTGAGATGCTTTGGTTTTGGGTGGCTTTTCTGTAATGCTTTTGTGAAAGGATCCAGTGTGGGTTACCGGCACTGCAAAGGCAAGGTGGCAGGCATTGTGGAGGGGTCAGCAGGCTTGCCCGAGGGCTGAGGTTGTAGCGGCCGAGCCGGCCAAGAAGGCCAAGAAGTCAACACTCACCTTCCTGGTCGTGTTTGCGAAGTGGGCCCCACAAGCCTTGCAGCTTGGTTCCGAGCCTGTTGGGGAAGGGAAGGAGCTGTACCCAGGGTTGGAATAGGCCTGCGTCCTGGCTCCCTGGGCCGGTGGGGCCTCCTCAGGCTGTCCATCCAAGCAGAACCAGTTGCAGCAGGTTGCCCACATGATAAAATCTGGTGCAAGGGAGGAAGGGGAGAAAGGTCAGAGTTAAGACACACCTCTGCTCCACTCCCTCATTCCCGAGGGCGCCCATGAGCAGGGCTACTCAGTCCACACCTGCTGCCAGAGTCAGGAGTCGAGGTGAGGACGTGTTTTCGGGGGCCACAGATTCCTTGCCACCTCCTGCTTCACCACAGTTGCCACTGCTCCCAGGAGGAGAGCACAGACACCAGATTTGCCAGGACAACATGGGATGCCGAGCTGGTGCACTACCTCTGAAAGGTTGCTGATCCCTGCTGTGGTTTAATCTGAGATCTAATTTTGAAAAAAAAATGGCCTTAGCAATTACAAGTGGCCTGAAACCCCCTTTATTCGGGCACATGAACCTGCTCCTAGAGCTCAGAGACATGGAACTTTATCACACGCATGTGATCCCATATTCACGTCGACCGTGGAGAGGAGGGGTATTATCTCCTTTACACGGATGGGGCCACCCAGGCTCAGAGAAGTCCGGGTCGCACCACTAATATACAGAGAACTGAGATTCTGAAAACCCAGGTCTTCTGACCCTAAACCTAACGTTCTTTTCCTAGACCATACCGCCCCTCCCTTGACTTTCCCTTCGCCGGCCAACAGCACGAACTACTCTTACCTTTGTACTTCCAATTCTACCTAAACCTGTCCCTTAGCACCTCTCTCTGTTCTGCCTGCTGCCACTACACCATACATTCCTTGAGGGCAGGGCCACTTATTCCTGTGTCTACTGCAGCCGAATAGCGTCGTGCACACAGAAGATGCTCAACTAATGTGTGTCGTCTTGCTGAACAGGTGCCTCGGTGGATTTATTAAGAAGTTTTGGAATAGGATTCCCATTTTACATATCAAATATGGGTAGTAGGGACAAAGGGATAGATGACTTTTTAAGATCACAGAAGAAAACCCAATCCCTCAAATGTCAGAATAATCTACAGTTGCGAAAGGGTCCACCAAACCGCGGAGCATCGCTGCGGTAAGAGTGTGCTTTTCTCAGCAGACCACGGCAGCCCGTATGGACATCTGGAGCCTGAACTCTCTGCTTACAGAGATAATAAATGAAACATTTAGTGTTACTGCTCAATCACCAGTTCACATAAAAGAACGGTACCTTCAGCTCTCTGCCTCCTGACTTATGGTAAGTGCCTTTATTAAATCGCAGTTCAGAGACGTGCTCAGCTGGAAAGCACTAACAAGAAGCTGGCTGGTTCAACCTTAGTCATCTCACAGAGGAAGCCAGAGGCCCAGCAGGGGGAACACAGATATAACCTCACACAGCGATAACCTCAGGTCCCCCAACGACTCCTGGGCCTTTTTAGCTTGCAGCACTTCCCGAGACTCCTGATCTAGAATTCATTCACTTTTATAGGCAGGTCTGATCCACACCTGTCTTCCCCGCTTGGCTGTGGCCCCCGTGTGAACAGGGACCATGACAGTCGGTCAGTGCCCAGCAGACAGGTGGCTCAACAAGGACTACTGAATGAATCACGCGATATTTGAATTTTAACTAATCGTGTTCATTCTTTCCGTTTCCTACACATCAACATTCCTCTCTGACTCACTCTTACTTGTCCACAGCCTCTAACTTCCCAGAAGACAACTGTAATGAAGAGTTCATATGGAATACCAAAGGAAAGAGCAGTTAAACAGATGAGTTCTCTGTTGGCAAGATAAGGGTGATAATAGCAGCGTGGCCCCCCTCGGAGAGAGGGATTTTTCAATTCTCTAAATCACCTGCTGACAAAAGCATCTGAGGCTGCATATAATAATACAAGGGAATACAGGATCCGGACTCAGAAGACCCGGGCCCAAGCCCCGCTTGACTACATACATCTTTATAACAAGTTCTACCTTTCTGTGCTTCCACTTTCTCACCGGACATTCTCCAGGCTGTGAGGCACTAAATAAAGATCAGTCGTGGCTCCGGGCATTGTAACAATGCTTCAACTAGTTTCTCTGGCAAGGCTCAAATAAAAAGGAAACCTAGAGGTTTCCCCACAATTACCATTTGGCTCTCCGGACTCGTCCCAAAAAGAGACAGGGACATCTGTGACAAAATCAGCAGAATGGGTCAAGTAACTGAAGGAGCTGGGGGCAAAGCAAGAAGCAGAGCGGCCTTGGGACAAAGCTGTGGGTGATTTGCTGGCCTCTGTCAGGATCTCCACTCACCCAGGCATGCAACCTTTAGTGAAGCCAATGCCTTGCTGTTTCCAGTGCTAGGTGAGTAAGGCAGAGAACCTGCCCTTGAGGAGTTCATGGTCAAGGAGAGGAACAAGAAATGTAAAACCCAAACGAGAAATTTCAGAGTAATCAGTGCCTTAACAGAGGTTCGTACAGCGTACCGGGGGCTGTGAAGATAGAGACACAAGCAGCTCTTCAGGGACGGAGGGGTGACCAGAGAAGACTTCTCAAATGATGTGCCACACGTATCCTCCTGTTGGAGTAGCTGGGGATTCATCAGGAAGCCCAGAGTAAAAGGAATTTTCAAGAAAAAGCAAACAGCATGCAACAGGGCATTAAAGAAACTACAAAATGTTTGATTGGGCCAAGAGTAGGGGTGGGATGGATGAGGGTATGGCAGGCAAACAAGCAGCCACGAAAAACCATGGTAAGGAACGTGGACTTTATCCTACAGGCATTGGGACACAATGAGCAGTTCAAGTAATCACATTTTGTGATCTTATTTGCATTTTATAGTGGGCACTCTGACAGGCAGGCTGGAAGCAGACAGCTGGTGTGGCAGAGGCAAGACAGGAGGAGAAAGGGACAGACAGATCTCTCACAGAACTCATGGGATGTGTCAATGGATTGAAGCGGTGGAAGAAGCGGGAGAGAAAACAGTCTTGGACAAATCCCAGGGTCTCTGAATTACACAACAGGACACAGAGTGGACTCGTTAACGGGAGTAAGGGACAAAGCCCTCAGCACGAGGCACGTGTCTGTGTGTGAAGGAAGCGGGGCAATTGCGATGATGGGTTGCATTTTGTACCCGGGGGACTTGCTGGTGGATACACAGCACACAGAGGGAAGAGTCCTGGTTGAGGGCAAAGTCCGGGAATCCTCAGACCACCAGAAGCATGAAAAGTCAAACAGGGCAAAAGACTGACTGGACAGTGGGGGTCACAGAGGATGGCCTGGGAGAACCCCCGGGGGGCGCCCAACCTAAAGGGCTAGCGGGGGAAACCAGCACAACAGTGGCAAGAAGACTGCTCAGAGGTGGGCAATCTGGAAGAGGGTTCTGAGTTTCAAGAAGAAATGACTGATGCTGTTGAATGACCTGGAGAGTGGAATACAGGAATACAAAATGCCCGATGGACCTAGTTTTAGGAAAATGTGAGCGTGCTCTTGGCCCGAGTAGGTAAGGAAGAGAGAAGCTGACTGACAGCTGTAAGTCGGAAAGTGACGGGGAAGTGAGGATGTGCACAGACCCCAGGGATAAACTATTCTCTGAAGAAACTTCTGGCCGTGAAGGGAAGGGCCGGAGCTGAAGAGGATCCAGGTCACTAAGACGGCGATGCAGACGCATGCATCGACTGTAGAGGAGCCCCCAAAGATGAGCCTGCAGAGGAAGGGAAGCTGGTCACAAACGGTGGGAGTGAGGGCCAGGAGCAGAAAGAAAGGTGACCTGCTGGGACGCCTGGGTGGCTCAGTCGGTAAGTATCTGCCTTCGGCTCAGGTCATGATCCCAGGGTCCTGGGATCGAGCCCCGCATCAGGCTCCCTGCTCCGCGGGAAGCCTGCTTCTCCCTCTCCCTCTGCCTGCCGCACCCCCTGCTTGTGTGCACTCTCTCTCTCTCTGACAAATAAATAAACAAAATCTTAAAAAAAAAAAAAAAGAAAGAAAGAAAGGTGACCTGCCGACAGTTTTGCGGGCAGGAGAAAGGTCACCTCTCACCAGAGACTGGAACGGAGGGAAGAGAGAAGTCACCCAAGAGAAGCTTACAGCCTCCTCAGACAAAGGTGAACGAATGAAGTACAAAGGCAAGGAGGGGGTGCAGTTAACCACAAGAAGAAAACAAACTTTTCCTGCACACAAGGAATCTGGCGGGGCAATTTCTTCCGAGAGCCGAAGAGGACTTTGCCGCAGAAGGGCCAGGCCCTCTTGGTAAAGCGCAATTGAGAGGAAAATAATGGCAGGCCGGCCAGCCGTCTGTCGTTTAAATTCCTGTGCTCTCCGGAGCGCGCAGGGAGCACCGGTGGCGTGCTGGGCCCTGGGAACAGCAAAAGCCATGCCCACCAGGTCCTGGCCCCCAGGGGCCTCCGGGCCCAACGAGGCGCTGCTGTCTCGCTCAACTCTGCCGTCCAGGCAGGAGAGCGAAGAAAGCTCTTCCTCAAGCCGAGAACCAAGACAACCTATCTCCCTCAGCACTATTTTCTCTCAACTTTGCTTCTCATCTTTTTTTTTTTAAAGATTTTATTTATTTATTTGTCAGAGACAGAGAGACCAAACAAGCAGGGGGAGCGGCAGGCAGAGGGAGAAGCAGACTTCCCGCCGAGCAGGGAGCCCGATGTGGGGCTCGATCCCAGGACCCTGCAATCATGACCTGAGCCGAAGGCAGACACTTAACCAACTGAGCCACCCAGGTGCCCCAACTTTGCTTCTAATCTGAACCGCCTCCTGTGACGAGCTCAGAAAGAAAAGTCGTCGGCCTATGCAAGTCTCTGGTTACTAGGCTCAGAAGGACTTGGCTCTGGGAGAAGACCTGAAATGTGCCTCTGGGTTATTGCCTAGGCCTCCCCGTGCAGGTGGAGGACTGAGTCTTATCCTGGGCACACGTATACGCAGGGAAGGGACTGGCACAGAAAGGGGCAGGTGGAAAGTCTCCGGGGCTAAAATACCTACAGACTTGCTCAGCCCAGCCGAACAGGGGTACCAACGTCAGGAGACTAGGTTTTTACTCTTTTTGACCTATATTTAAATACCATTTCCTAAAGGGGTCAGTTAAAAGTACTCTCTTGCCAAACTGGAAAATGCTACTCCT